TTTTAATGCTTTACTGTTGATATATATATATATATATATATATCTGTCTCTTATACACATCTAGATGTGTATAAGAGACAGATCGTATATATATATAATGTGTGTAGTAAGTAGAAAGGTATACGTTGACAATATATAAAGACATTTTAATTCGAATACATTTTTTTAAATATAAAAACTAGTAAAATTTTGCCCCGAAAGAACAGGCCACTGAAAAAACGTCCACAGAAAAAAGGCCCCGGTAAAAATGTCCACAAATGACAAGTAGGTATACACCTCCTGTACTGTATTATAGAGGGTATTACATAGTTACACCTACTGCACATAAGGTACAGATATATTTTTTGGTTTTTCTAGTTTTTTAAAATAAAAATCTCATTGGACATTTTACCCCAGCCTCAATTTTGATCTTATTTTGTTCTTAATTTTTAAGCAATTTCAGCCTAAGTGTTCTTATAAAATGTGTTCTTATATATAAAAAAGTGTATTATTAATTGTTTATTCTTGTTTGCTAGATTGAAAAACTGTTGTAATCATACATTACGTGTTATCGCTGAGGAAGAACACAGGAGTGCTCAAAATCATCCAACGTATACGTACACGTTTCTACTTTGTGCAATCTACTTTGTGCAATCGTAGTGTAGCATAGCTCTCAGCGAATGTTATCCTATAACTAAATGCATAAAGAAATTGTGTAATAAAATGCCTCTGACGGGATTTGAACATGCATTTAAAAATACAGATTTGTGGGAAATACGCGAACAAATAAGAACATTTTGAGCCTGGGCAAAATTATACTGGTTCTTATAAAAAAAAAGTGTATTTTTTTATGACAATTAGCCGTAGGTGTTTAGTAAAAAGTTATTACATAAACAGTATAAATAGGTTTCTAAGCTTCTTATTCGGTAAGCCTACTCAAATTTAGTTTTATATTTAGGCATACGTTATATATTTTGATGAAGAGGATGATGATAATAGTGGAGATCATGATGATGGGTTCGAGTCTCGGTAGGGGCGATTTTTCACACTCAAAACTTACATGTATTACCATTTCTCTTTTAAAATAAACCTCATATCATATTGCATTATGTAATTTATATAATCTATACAAATATAGGCACATATACTTGCAGATTATTCTTCTTAAACGTTCAAATTTATATATAATTATAGAATTACCGCAAGAAGGTTTAGAAAAAAATACTGCACTTTTGGTTTGGGAAGAAACATCTAACTATTCAACTTCACTCCGTTTCATTATTGAATTTGGCAGTAACCTGTAAACCATATTAGTTATGATCTAATAAGAATAAATTTAAATAAGATCGCAAAGTTCAGTTCACTAAGCAAAGAGGTATAAGTCACTCTCACCCATAGAATATGTGGATTACTTACTCTTTAATTTTTTCGAATACTTTTAAAGATATAAGTAGGCCCTATACAATGTTTGCAGCATATCTCGTTTCTTATTTTTAACTTCCTGAAAACTGAAGAACATACTGTATGCCAGCTATCTTGGCAATACTGTGTCCGGTTTAGGGGATTGACCGATTAAGTCCTTTTCCTTCCTTCCTTGAATGTGCATTTCTTATCCGACGGTATGAATGTTACTCCCTCAATTTACTGAAAACCAATGTTAGCGAAACAGATCACTGCTTAGTGTAGATAGCTGATGCCAATGTGATGAGGGCTTTGTACTCAGCGGCACCATATGCATTCCTCTTTCGGAATGTGGTTGTACAGACGACGAGGGATTCTATTTCCCTGTATGTTGTCTTTTACTCTACCTGTTTTTGGTTTAAGGAATGTTTGTCTCTAGCAAACTAACGGTTGTTGTGTCCTGACAGTGTTAATCTTTAATATCTGTCTCTTATACACATCTAGATGTGTATAAGAGACAGATATATATGTAAACATTCATATCAACTGAGAGGCAAAATCATAAAAAGGTGGAAAGCGACAATTATTACACTAACCTTTTGCTTCCTCCTGAAAATTGTAATACTATAGTTAAAGTTATCTATTTTCTGCCTCGAAGTAATTTTAGTGAAGTTATGATTAGAATAAATTTGATTCAATCCACCCATTTGCATTTTACTTGCAACTTACAGGCCTACTATACTGCTAGGTACGGAATGTGACGGCCTTAGAAGTAAAACACTTTAAACATGGTCCTCACAATCTCAAATCAAAATTTACTTCTAATTTCAAACTTGATACTTTGGAAAATTTTGATTTCTAGATGGCGGGAAATGACCTTTCCCGACTTTTGAGCTAGGTGTCTAATGACTTTGTTCTTCAAAATTCCAGGGTTTCCCCTTTGAAAACGGTAAGGTAAACTTTCTCATTACAGTAAATAGGCCTGTTATGTGTGTATACATTTATTTATTTATTTATTTAATGAGTAGTTGCATACGTATTTTTTTTTTCAATGAATCGAAAAGCTCCAAAGAAAAGGGGGTCCGGGGATTCTCCCCCGGGAAAATTTTGATTCCTATAGATGGCGGAAAATGAGCTTTTTCCCGACTTCTGAGGTGTCTTAATTACTTCAAAATTCAAGGTTTCCCCTCTTGAAAACGGTCAGGTATTTTTTTTTCCTTTGGTATTACAGTAAATATGTGTGTATACATACATAAAAAAATTTTTTAAATGAGCAGTTGCATACGAATTTTCCATGAATCGATGAATGCCAAAATGAGAGGGGGGTTCTCCCCCGGGAAAATAAGGTTTTTCCCTCTTGAAAACGGTCAGGTAAATTGTTCCCACATTGTTATTAAAGTAGATAGGCCTTATGTGTGTATATATACAAAAAATTGAGTAGTTGCATACGATTTTTTTTTCCATGAATCGATATATCCCAAAAAGAAAGGGGGGGGGTGGTCTGGGGGTTCACCCCATGAAAATTTTGATTCCTAGGAGGCGGGAAATGAGCTTTCCCGACTTCCGAGGTGTCTTTTAAGTTCTTCAAAATTCAAGGTTTTTCCCTCTTGAAAACGGTCAGGTAATTTTTTACCATTGTTATTACAGTAAATAGGTCTTATGTGTGTATACATACATACTAAAAAGAAATAAATGAGTAGTTGCATACGAATTTTCCAGGAATCGATGAATCCCAAAAGGAAAGGGGGTCAGGGTTCTCCCCCGGGAAAATTTTGATTAATAGAAGGCGGGAAATGAGTTTTCCCGACTTCTGAGGTGTCTTTTAATTACTTTTAAGTTCTTCAAAATTCAAGGTTTTCCCCTCTTGAAAATTATTATAATGAATCAATGAACCAAAAGAGAAAAGTGTGGTTCAGGTTCTTCCCGGGTAAATGTTGATTTCTAAATGGTGGGAAATGAGCTTTCCCGACTTCTGAAGTACAGTATCTTTTAATGACTTTAGAAGTTCTTCAAAATTCAAGGTTTTCCCCTCTTCAAAACGGTCAGGTAAATTTTTCCCATTGTTATTACAGTAGATAGGCCTTATGTGTGTATACATAGGCCTACACAAAAAATTGAGTAGTCGCATACGATTTTTTCCATGAATCGATACATCCCAAAAGGAAAGGGGGTCCGGGGGTTCTCCCCCAGGAAAATTTTTATTCCTAGAAGGCGGGAAAAGAGCTTTCCCGACATTTGAAGTGGGTTTTAATGACTCATATTATTCAAAATTCTAATTTTCTTATCGTAACAAAAAAAAAATCGGCTCACGGGTCCTGAAAAGGTAGGTCTAGAATTCTTTTTCTTTTCCCCTTTTTTTGTTGCCCAATGGAGGGGTCAGGACCCATGACCCCCTTCCCCAGATCCGCCAATGTGAATTGCGAGAAAATGTAACTCAGTCGGGGACTGAATAAACATTCTCTTTCCCATCCTTCTACTCCTTCTTCCCTCCTTTTCTTGCATTTCTGATCATACAAAAATCTCCAGACATTATATATTTTTGGCCAAAAAGTGGGGGAACCTCTGGCCCAGGCCTAGGCGCGGCCTACCCTACCTAGCCTATGATGTCGATCACAGATAGGCCTAGAGCTGGGGGCCTAGGCTCAGGTGTAGTTAGCATACCGGGCCTATCAATGGTTATCACCATAATATATATGATATATATGATATATATATATTATCATATTTATTATCGTTGTAACTATAATGTAACTTACATATAAATAAATACATAATTCCAATTATAAGTCAATCGTGACGTCACCACTGTAATTCCTAATGTTATTTGCCTATTCCCCAGCGTCCACTAATTTTACTATTAGTCAACGCTCGCGCGCTTGGCTTAGTTTTTTATAGGATCGTGTGCAAAAAAAATCCTCTTTTTTTCGTCACCGCAATACATCGCGCACCGCGATAAAAAAAAGGAGGTGGGGAACAAAAGCTTTTTTGAGGGGGTCAAGGACTTGAAGGGCCATGCCCACCTCAGTCCCTATGGTAGGCTGAGCTAAACTTGAAAATGGCACTCATAGACATTGGGGGAAAATTGTCTAAATTGGAAAGTATTGTAGCTAGGAGAGAATGGCAAATACCAGGAAGGTCTACACTCACCTCAGGCCAACCATGGTTGGGGCTGAGTTGAAAAAAGAATCAATGATGTAACAACATTGTATGCCCAGAAATTCTCAGACTTAAAATATTTATTCTAAATTGTTTTAATTGACATTATGTCGTTAAATTTGTAATTAGATCAAATAAGTTTGTATGCATTTTCAGTGGGCGGAGGGAGCGGGGGATATTTATTTATTTATTTATTCAACTTTCTTTATACTGGATGGCACGCTCAATGCAAATGCACTGGTTTTCGTTGTGGTCCAGTTGTAACATAAAAAATACAAAAGGAATAAAATGAAAAGGAAATTTTAACAAAAAGGACCTAATTACAAAATAGAGAGATTAATTATTTTAGAGCATTTTTAAAGGTATTTTGATTTAAATTCTGGAAATCCCTAGTTATGTTACTAGGTAGTTCGTTCCAGTTCATAGATGCTCGATAGTGAAAGGTCCGTTTTCCTTGGCAAATGTTCCACTGTGGAACTAAAAGATGATTACTGTATTTGTCTGACTTCGAGTATTTTTATCAATTTTGAGAGAAACAAACATCCTAATTAAATAGGAAGGTGCAAGTCCTTGAAGACATTTAAAAGTTATTATGGATAAATAACGAATGAACAATATACAGTACTTCTTTAAATGTATATAGGCCATATGCCTAATACAACGTCGACTAAACATTATTCTAGCCCCAAAACCTAGACTAGGAAATAAACGGAATGTTGTCCAAGGAGAATGTTTATTTTCAGGAGTTTTATTTTCCAAGAGTTATTATTACCACGTCTCTGTGGTATTCTTGAGATTCTCCCTACTTTTTTCACAATTTACAAACAATTATTTGATCTGCTTAAAATTTAACGAAGTCAAGAGTCAAATTAAGACACATACAAATTTAACAGTACTATACCAGACTATATTACCCCTGAATTTGTTCATCCCAGCCTCAACAATGCTATATTTTAAGTCTGAGAATGCTATTTTCGGAAATTAATGCCACTTTGCTATGTAGTTCATCGGACCCACTAACACTTCAGAATGAATTAAAGCATAATCTTGACAAAATTGTTAATTGGTTTAATGAAAATCATATGACACTAAACATTAAAAAGACTAAATTTATAATTTTTGGAACAACACAGAATATTTCTAAATATAATAATTTGACTGTGAGCTATGACAATAATTTTATTGAAAGAGTTGATTCTTTTAAATACTTGGGCGTTACTTTTGACCCACAGCTTACGTGGAACAAGCACATTGAAACCTTATCTTCAAAAATATCTAAAAGAATTGGTGTCATCCGTCGTATCAGATATTTTATACCTCAATTTATTCTTAAGATGCTGGCTAAAACTTTGGTTTTTCCTTTATTTGATTATTGTTCATGTGTACACTGTATGGTCAACTGCTCCATCCAATTGACTAATAGCCTACAAGTTCTTTTAAACACCTTAGGAAGAATTTTACTTTCTTGTGACATTAGAACACCAATTAATGATGTTTTAAGCTCGTTAAACTGCCAAACTCTGAATGACAGATGGAGAGATCAATTATTACATACTCAAATCATTTTGATTTTAGCAGGGGTTGGTGGCAGAAATTGAACCCCCCCCCCCACTCAACCATCCTTTGGATACGGGGCTGAATCAAGACAAGTATAGAAAATTAATGATATTAATTCCTCCACAATATAGAATGATTCATATATATAACCATAAACAGTATATTAGTATTGGTAGGCCTAGTACCTGTACCCAAACAAATGACTTAGCTGTTCTGTCGTCTCAACTGTGCGCATAATTTTTGTGGAAAGGGCAAGCCACATTACCAAGATTATACGCGTAT